TATTACGTACCCAACCTTTGTCACGTTTTTAATTTCTTTCAGTTTCCTATTAATGAAATTTTGATGAAAATTTTGAATTTGCTAAATCACATGGCTTATAAAAAGCACATTAATAGAGTAAAGAAAAATATTAAAAATAGCTAAAATTGTTCTTACTAAGAGGCCGTTTGGTAACATCATTTTTCGGGCTTATCAGTCTTATCAGCCAACTTTTTCACCAAACACGTAACTTTTACTTTCGCGCACTGAATTGTGTAATAAGCAGAAAAAGTAAGGTTGGAGTTAGTTTTCTGGCTGTATTGGCTGAAGTTACTGTAGATAACCATTTTAACTATTTTTACATATAATTATTTATTTATTTTATTAATAAAATATATTTTAATTTTTTTTACTTAAAACAGCAGAAACAGCCAAAACAGCCACTTCAGCCAGAACTTCATAAATTTCAGCAGAATCAGCCAAAACAGCCGATTTTCGTGCTACCAAACGGGCTCTAAATTAACGTAAGAATCAAAATTAATTTATGATAATGAATCAGGGACGTCTTTAGAACTCCGGAGGCCCTAGAAGGAAAAACACTTAATGTTGACGTATCGATGTGGATGATTTTTGAGTTAATCCTCCAGTCACCTAATTAATAAGCCGATCATGATGTAGATGATTTTTTTAACAGATAATGAATGGGTGAAGGAATAATATGAAAAATTGGTGAGTGAATGGAAGAAAATACACGGTATAAACAATTTCCATTCAAAAAACTCAAAGAATCATAATTTACTTATCTAATTTATAGAAAGACCAAATTTGCCGGGCGGCATCATGTTCATATCCGATATTTTAAGTCTAATACTACGTAATACTCCGTAGTAAAAAAGAGAAATACAAGAATTCAAAATATTATTAGAAATGGAAGCTCCGTCCACAAAAAATAACATTTTGTTGTGAAATGAAGAAGATGAAGACTAAATTTAAGAGATAGATATATATAGATAAAAACTTCTGAATTACTTCTTCTTAATATCTGAAATTTCTGAGTTCTCTGAATTGCTTGAATTAAATTTACAAAGGATTGAATGCCCTATTTATACTAGCCAGACTTGGGATGAATCATCTAGGAATGATTCTACATAATTTGCTGGCAACATTAAACCTAAACATCTGTCTATTACAAGGACTGGAATTGGATTAGTGTCCTGATGACAAGGATGAAACATTCACACTTGTCATTCTCAGGAATTTACAACACTCCCCCTTGAATGTTCATCCTTGAATATGTATTTGTGAAAATGAGTGTGAAAATTAAGGGGTAAAAATTACGACATATAATGTCGTTGTATTTGGATGTACTGTCTCGTTAAAAACCTTATCAGGAAAAACCCAGTGGGATAAAAACCTGATGAAGGGAAAAAGAGTGCAGTGCATTCAAATACTCCCCCTGAAATTAACATAAATTTTGAAGGCGGCGCATGCCGATTTTCTGTACAAGTTCAACGAACTTCTTCGGGGGTAAAGATTTGGTGAAGAGATCAGCTGGATTTTCACTGGATCTGATTTGCTGAACGTTGATCGTCCCTTCTTTCTCAAGGTCGTGAGTAGAGAAAAATTTTGGAGATATATGTTTCGTTCTATCTCCTTTGATGTAGCCTTCTTTAATTTGAGCTATGCACGCAGTGTTGTCTTCGTAGATCACAGTAGGGTAAACAGTAATAGGCTTCATACCGCATTCATTCTGGGTGTGTTGAATCATAGATCGCAGCCACACACATTCTCTTCCGGTTTCATATAGTGCAATTAACTCCGAATGATTTGATGATGTAGCTGTCAACGTCTGTTTCATAGATCTCCAAGAGATTGCGGTATTACCATAAGTAAATACGTACCCGGTTTGTGATTTTGCCTTTTGAGGATCTGATAAATATCCAGCGTCTGCATATCCGATTAAAGAAGCTTTTGCATCTTTGTGGTAGAATAAGCCAAGATCAACTGTACCACGTAGATAACGAAATATGTGCTTGATCCCGTTCCAATGACGTCTTGTTGGGCATGAACTGTACCTAGCTAATAAATTTACAGAAAATGCAATATCTGGTCTAGTATTATTAGCTAAATACATTAAAGCTCCAATAGCACTCAGATATGGTACTTCAGGACCGAGTATTTTTTCGTCGTCTTCCCGGGGACGGAATGGATCATCGTGTATGTTGAGAGATCGAATGACCATTGGTGAAGTCAAAGGATGAGCTTTGTCCATATAGAATCTCTTCAACACTTTCTCGGTGTAATTGGATTGGTGGATGAAAATTCCATTCTTCAAATGCTCAATTTGAAGTCCGAGACAAAATTTGGTTCTCCTGAGATCTTTCATTTCAAATTCTTTCATAAGATATTTTGCAGTATTTTCAATTTCATTGGGAGTTCCAATAATGTTTAAGTCATCAACATATACTGCAATTATGGCGAATCCCAAATTTGATCGCCGAATGAAAACACATGGGCTAATTGGATCATTCTTATATCCTTCTTTGAGAAGGTATTCACTGAGACGATTATACCACATTCGTCCAGATTGCTTTAGTCCATACAATGACTTTTGTAATTTAATGGAAAACATGTCTCGAGGTTTCGAGCTATAAGCTTCAGGCATTTTAAATCCTTCGGGAACTTTCATATAAATGTCTGTATCGAGTGAACCGTATAGATAGGCGGTCACTACATCCATTAGGCGCATTTGCAGCCTTTCAAAAACAGACATGCCAATGAGAAACCTTAATGTAGTTGCATCAACTACTGGAGAATAGGTTTCTTCATAATCAATTCCCGACATTTGAGAAAAACCTTGGGCAACAAGTCGGGCTTTATATCTAACAATTTCGTTTCTCTCATTGCGTTTACGCACAAATACCCATTTAAAACCCACAGGTTTTACGCCTTTTGGCGTAGGGACTATCGGTCCAAAAACATCACGTTTTTCAAGTGATTTTAATTCAGCCTGAATAGCTTCATTCCATTTTGGCCAATCGTGTCGTTTCCGACATTCTTCTATTGATGTTGGCTCATTGTCATTGTTTTCATTCATAACATTTGTGGCAACGGCATAGACAAATATCTCATTAATATCAATATCTTTTCGATTCCATTGCATTCCAGTAGAAACGTAATTTATTGAAATTTCATAATTATCAACGTTTCTATCAGTATCTGGAATATCTTCCTCATTTAAGGAAGTTGAATCATTATTTGAGATGTTTGTTTTGTCAATATCATTTTCTATGCCAGCATTTTCAAATTGTTCATTTTCTTGTTCAGAAGGATGAACATCTTTGGCATCACAGATCAATTCCTGCCTTTTAGTCTTTCTTGGTTTTATGTCTTTTGATCCAAGTGGCCTGCCACGCTTTTTGCGTATAGAAGAATTATTTGCGAGAGATTTTTCAGAATTCTCCGCTGGAATTTCAATTCTGGCAGGGGCATTCATAGCAGGAATATGTGACTTTGTCACTTTCTTTGTGTCTGTGAATGCATCAGGCAACTGATTTGCAACATTTTGTAAATGGATTATCTTTTGCACCTCTTGCTCACATATATTTGATCTAGAATCAAGGTGTGACAATCCTGTTGCATTCCATGTTATTTCTTTCGTACTTGGGTCCGATTTATTAGTTTCTCCCCCTAAGGTTGGGAATACTGTTTCATTGAAATGACAGTCAGCGAACCGTGCGGTGAATAAGTCACCAGTCATCGGTTCAAGATATTTGATTATTGAGGGAGATTCAAATCCGACATAAATTCCCAACCTTCTTTGAGGACCCATTTTTGTACGATGAGGTGGAGCAATCGGAACATAAACAGCACAACCAAATATTTTTATGTGTGCTAAGTTTGGCTCTTGTCCAGTAACTAATTGCATTGGGGAATATTCATGATATGCAGTCGGTCTAAGCCGAATTAAATTTGCTGCATGTAAAATAGCATGTCCCCAAGCTGATGAAGGTAAATTACACTTCATTAATAATGGTCTAGCGATTAATTGTAATCGTTTAATCAAAGATTCAGCAAGACCATTTTGTGTATGGACATGAGCAACAGGGTGCTCCACATCAATCCCAATCGACATACAATAGTCGTTAAATGATTGGGAAGTAAATTCTCCTGCATTATCAAGTCGGATTCTCTTGATAGAATGATCCGGAAAATGAGCTCTTAATCGTATAATTTGAGTGAGGAGTTTAGCAAATGCTAAATTTCTAGTTGATAAAAGACTAACATGTGACCAACGTGTTGAAGCATCAATCAACACCATAAAATATCGAAATGGTCCACATGGTGGGGCAATCGGCCCACAAATATCTCCTTGAATCCTTTCTAAAAATGCAGGTGATTCAGTTGCAATTTTGGTCTTAGAAGGCCTGATGATCATTTTGCCAAGAGAACAGGCCTTACAAGGAAAATCACTTGATAATGGAACCCTGATATTCTTTAATGGGTGTCCAAGTGAAGTCTTAATGATTTTATGCATCATTACTTGGCCTGGGTGACCTAAACGGTCATGCCACAACATGAATGTTTTCTGATCATCTAACTTTGTGTTAGAAACCAAATTTATTTCAAATGGACTAATATAAGTGAAATATAGTCCTGAGGAATATGCTGGCAATTTTTCACAAATATATTTAGTGCCAGATTTAGTTGTCGTAAGACAAAGATATTCCTTTTGGTTTTCATTCATGGTTTCTATGTGATAACCATTTTGACGCATATCTTTAAAGCTTAATAAATTTCTCCGCGATTTGCTGGAGTATAAAGCGTCATTTATAATTATTTTTGTCCCGTTAGGGAGCATCACATATGCTTTCCCAGAGCCTTCAATGAGCTTCGCAACACCTGATATTGTATTGACTTTAGCCTCAACTAAAGTCATTTGAGAAAAATATATTTTATTTCTCAAAATGGTGTGCGTTGTGGCGCTGTCTATCAGATATAGCTCTTTATCACTTGAGTGATCCATATCTTCAATATATGTAAATAAACATAAGCTTGACCACAAATTATGCATATTATTTAACATAAGAGTACATATATTACACACATTTATTTAAAAAAAACAAGATAAAAAGTACATAAAACTAGTATTTTACAATATCAGGAGTCTAATATTTTATTTTGTAGCATTTTGATTAATGGCAAAAGCATCATCCATAATAGCATCATCCACGAAGAAGTCGGACACGTCAAATTTTGGCATAGGTGGAGTTGTATCATTAACATAATTAGCTTCCACATTTTTGCCTTTGTTCAGATTCATGGAAGCTTGAAATAACTCCACCAGATGTTTAGCCGTGCGACATTTATTAGCCCAGTGTCCCGTCATGCCACATTTATAACAAGTCGACTTTCCCGAGGATTTTGGAGGGCGATTTATTTGATGGGCTTTTTGTTTGCCCTTGCCCTTGTAATTTGGTCTTTCGACCTGTTTGTATTCTCGGTGTGACTTGTTTTTATGACCATTAAAATGCCCACGTTTAAAATGCCTTCTACTGCCACTGTATGTTGCATTTGATTCAGTGGCTAAATTATGGCCAGATGGACCATAAACCGAAGGACTAGAACCAGTGGGTCTCAGATTATGATTTTTCATCAGAAGGTCATTATTTTGCTCAGCAACAAGTAGAACTGATATAAGGTCGGAGTATTTTTTAAAACCCTTTTCTCTATATTGCTGCTGTAGCAGCATATTAGAAATATGCATGGTAGAAAAGGTTTTCTCCAACATATCAGCATCCGTGACTTTTTGTCCGCATAACTTTAGTTTAGATGTTATTTGGAACATGGCAGAATTATAGTCACTGATTGATTTAAAATCCTGGAATCTTAAATTGATCCAGTCATACTGAGCTTTTGGCAAAAGTACCTTTTGTTGGTGGCCATACCTCTCTTGTAAATTGTCCCATAATTCTTTTGGATCATCAACCAAAAGATATTCAGATTTGAGACTTTCATGGAGGTGGTGACGGAGGAAAATGATAGCTTTCGCTTTGTCTTGGGAAGATGATGGCTTATTTGTCTCAATAGTTTCTTCAAGACCATTAGCCTTCAAATGTGCTAAAGCATCAACTTTCCATTCCAGGTATTTTTGTCCAGACAGATCAAGAACATTGAATTCTCTTTTGCTTATATTGGCCATGAATTACTATAAAAAAATTATTAAATTGAATTCGTCAGTGGAATATTATTTGTTAGGAAAACTTTCTTGCTATATTAATTAAAAGTTAAAATTATCAACCGTACATAAATTTACTTGTACCTTTAATGATATAAATCGTGAGGACATTAAGAGTTATATTTAATTTGTAACTAAAACTGATTACTAATAAGTACGTACTAGATATTAACTATTTCAATTACATACTGTCACAGTGTACATGTGTCAAAAGAAAACGAAAGCAAATGCATGTGGCATGTGACTATCTTGCATGCGTTTTGGTTTTTTGCACATAGACTGGGGAACGTAACAGTATTTTCAGTTACTATTTTATTGTTGACAGACTACTTAAAACAATGAAAAGGATCAGATGAAATTTAACATATATGCTCAGATGGTGTTTCTTTTAACACCCGTGACTCACCGTTTCGCAAATAACTTTATGTGTGTAGTCTATTTATTGTATTGCTATCTACGTAGTATCATCTCATTTCATCCTAATTCCTTCGCTGGCCAGTCACCAATTCTTTTGGTCTTGTTTATTTTGTTATCCAGGCCATATTTTTTCATACTATACGTACCTACGGCTTTTCATCATCTTTGTTTAATTTATTTCTGGGTGTTATACTATTATATATACTTTTTTCTTTCTTCCTTTGACGAAATACTTCCTATATCGGTAAGAGTTTATCAAGAGTGAAGAGAAGAAAACATTGAAGGTACGTGTGCTAAAACTATATATATTTTTTGTTTATTATGTAATTTTGAATATAATTTTAGTTTGGACAGTTATATACTTTTCCAGATTTCAGTTAATTAACAAGAGTAAAATAGTACATAATTGTTTATACCTGCAGGAAGATGATTTCTTGAAGAGCTTGAGCTGATTCGTGCTGATAACGTGTTGTGAAATGAAGAAGATGAAGACTAAATTTAAGAGATAGATATATATAGATAAAAACTTCTGAATTACTTCTTCTTAATATCTGAAATTTCTGAGTTCTCTGAATTGCTTGAATTAAATTTACAAAGGATTGAATGCCCTATTTATACTAGCCAGACTTGGGATGAATCATCTAGGAATGATTCTACATAATTTGCTGGCAACATTAAACCTAAACATCTGTCTATTACAAGGACTGGAATTGGATTAGTGTCCTGATGACAAGGATGAAACATTCACACTTGTCATTCTCAGGAATTTACAACACATTTTTCTCACAATATATTTTATTATTTAAAAACGCGGTACAAAATTTTGTTCCATTAGTTGGATGTGATTATTAATTTATCAAAAAATCAAAAGAACAAGCCAGAGTAAAAAGAGCCCGCATGTTTTATCGGTAGGCATAATTCCAAGAGAGGGTTAATTATTTATTGTTTCTGTGTATGTTTCTTTGTTTGGATAACATACATAATTCGAAAGACTAAATTGGAAGATGGAGCAGGGCGACATGGGATGTCATTGGGAAGTCTGTTGTAAATACTCTAATGTGATTTGCCGCATCTATCCAAGACATGAAGTTAGAAAATTCCTAAGCTAAAGCTTCATTTTTCTAAGCTAAAGGCTAAAGTTCCATGCCATCTTTCTTGTGACTCATTAAATGATAGGAACTAATTTACGCAACACGAAAAACAATTAAAGAACACACAAAATTTGGTAACTCAGTTTGCCACGAATGACTACGTCTGGGGGGCGCTACCAAACCAGAAATATTATTGCTATTTTCAGATCCAAAAGATTACAAAGGGAGAGAGCTTGTATTTATAGAGAGTAAAACCTACCCCTAAGCCAACTAGGAGGCTCGGCCAAAAATAAAGAAAAATAATCCGTACGGCCCAGCTGTACAGAATTCGTACGGCCCAGCTGTACAGAATTCGTACGGCCCATCTGTACGGAATTGTACGGAAAACTTGTTCGTCAAAAACGGACCAAAAATTTCGGCTAGGGCTTGGTTATAAATTCTGTAACACCTCACATTAAACACACTCTATTCTACTCACCTCTTTTCTGGGTGCCTATTTTCAACAACTAAAATTGACGTATCATGACTAAATAAAGACTACAAACAATATTGTGAGTTGTGACTATGGTTTTACAGTTCTAAATCCTACCAAGAATCCTACCTCATCTTGTGTCCATTATTTGGTAGTCTTCTCTTAAATTTTTATATAAATAAGTCATGTTTGATAACTTGTAATTGGTTGAATCAGTTTAATTGGCTGAAAATTAGTGAAAGTCAGAGTGTAGCACCTAAAGTGATTGAACTTATTGAGTTATGAAAGAATTATATTTAGAATAATATAATATTAGTGTAAAATAAAATAAAAATATTATACTCCCTCCATATTCTTTTGTGTGCTACATTTTTCATTTTTAGTGAGTTTTTCATTTAAAAATGCTAAATTATCATTAATTTTCTGCTTTTTATCTTCTCTTTCATATTTTTAACCTTCTTTCCTATTTTTCTTTACTATTCATTACCATTGCAACTTTTCCCTTGTGTCAAACCCTATTATAGAATATGCTAATGAGGGATCGAGGGAGTATGAGAAATATCTTGAGTGGTCATCTTAAGCAATTTAGTCTGAAAAGTAACTGCGTAGTATAATCTTAATTATTTTGACTATTATACACTATCCTCCGTCAGGGCCGTCTTTAGTTGACAGAAATTTTTGGAAGGGATTCTGCAAAATTAGCAGGGATATGCCAAATTTGTGTCAAAAATAGTTTGACACGAGCTATTTGGCACAAAATTATCAATAAATCTTTGCCAAATTCATGTCAATTCCTTAGTTTTGTTAGTGTCATACAATTGATGGAGTATATGGCCCAGGAACCCCCAGCCCACATACTCCTACTGTCCCTAAAGAGGCCCAATAGGCCCGGTAGGCACAGGAAGCCCAGATACAGCGGCCCAAACCCAAAGGAGCCCATGATACACATATGGGTGCCTTCGGCGCCATAGCTGAGGGCATGAAAGTATGAAACTCCAGGAGACTACTGCTCTTGGACCCACAACACTGCTGGAAGATTCTGGCTAAAAGAGTAAGCCTTCGGCCTAGGGGTGCCTTCGGCACACACGCCGAAGGGTATCCACTCAGCAAAGATTCCCCCTGAAGACAGGCAACCACCGCATTTAATGTGGTGACACGTCCAACCACCGCATTTAATGCAGTACCACATGCAAATGTCGGCGCCACCGCGGCTGGAGTGACCCTCCACCATTGATTAGTTGACACGTGTACTCGCATTTAATACGCCTAACATTTATGACTGCTATAAATAGCACCCCCTTTTCCTTTGTAACATACAACGAGTTCATTTAATACATTCTCACACTCTCTCTCTCTCTCTTACTTAATGCTCCGAGTTCTCTCTAAGATATCCCTCGTGGTATTCCTCGGATAGGCTACCCCCGGGTATACTATCCATCAACAATATTAGCCAATTAATGTTTTACACCTTAATTATGTACTCCGTATATAGTACTATAACAGTTGATTAAAAGTAACAAATTATATACTAGTAGTATTTTTTAAAACAATATATTTGTAGTACATAACCACTTTGTATTACAAAATTCTGAATATTCATAATGTAAATTAAGAATACGGTTTTTTTCCTCAATCAATTTCAAATTATATTGAATATAATATACTCCCTCCGTCCCGCTATGAAGTTCCCACTTTCCTTTTTTAGCAGTCCCAAAAAGAAGTTCTCATTTCCTTTAATGGAGAGTTATCTACATCAAAACAGTGCCAAACAGTGCAAACAGTGTCAAACAATGTCGGAACAGTGTCAAAATAGTAAAATTTACCCCCTTGTAAATTTATTTCCTTAATATGTGTGTAAGTCAAACCGCGAGCTTCTTAGCGGGACGGAAATAATAGTAAAGTACGTAACTAATAAATAAAGCTTTTCCATAGCATTTAAAGCACTTCAAAAAGTTTGTAATTTTTGGAATCTTAAATTACTTAGATCCCGTTTGGTAGCACCAAAATCGGCTGTTTTGGCTGATTCTGCTAGAATTTATGAAGTTCTGGCTGAAGTGACTGCATTGGCTTATTCTGCTGATTTAAGAATAAAATTTTTAAAATGTATTTCATTAATAAAATAAAGAAAAAAATATATGTAAAAATAGTTAAAATGGTCATCTACACTAACTTCAGCCAATACAGCCAGAAAAGTAACTTCAACCTTATTTTTTCTTCTTATTACACAATTCAGCGCGCAAAAGTAAAAATTACGTGTTTGGGGAAGAAGTTGGCTGATAAGCCGAAAAACAATGTTACCAAACGGCCTCTTATTCGGTTATTCATAATGGCCACTGCGTAGACCGTGGTGGAGTACATACTCCATATTCTTTTTTAGCATTACCGAATACGTGTAGTAAATATTGACAAGAAAAAATCTGTTTGTACCCACTTCAGTACTCACTTTTGTATCCACCTTCTATTTTGCATGTATACACAGGCAATTCGTTAAGAGGAAAGTAGGATTTGTCTCCCAATTGCCTGTGTACACAGACAATGTACAAAAGTGTTTATAAAAGTGGGTACACCAAGGACTCCATTGAGTATGTATTCATAATACTTTTATTTTTAAGAATTGATGCCCCTATTATCTTGGTGCCCTAGGCATATGTCTAGGTGTCTGTCGGCTATAGTCGGTCCTGTCCTATGTTCTTTAATAGTTGCAACAATTTGACTTTCACGTTTGTCAATGCACAACTTTGACTACAATTATATTTACTTATTACTTATAAATAAACATTATAAAAAGTTAATATTTTGGAAATATAAGTTTTATACTCCGTAACATTAAAATCAAGCAATCAAGTCCTTTTTTACCTGCTGGTGCAGGTAATGAGAGGAGAAACTACCGACACCAGCGGGTAAAAAAGGACCTGATTGCTTGATTTTCAATGAGTTGAGGGGTGTATTTGTACTTCTTCCGGTTCAGGGGTCTGATTGCAAAAACGCAAATAGTTTAAGGGATTATTTGCCTGTTTTTTCTATACATAATAATTTGATTATATATTAATAGAAAATCATAATCAAAATAAAGTGTGAATTATACAAAAATACTACCTCCGTCCCTAAAAACTTTTCCATGTTTTAGCGACACGGAGATTAATAAAGTAAAAACTGTGTGGTTGAGGTTTGTGCAGAGGAGAGAGAATTAAGTAGAACCACAAATTCATTACTTAAAAGGGAAAGTGGCAATGTTAGTGGGACATCCAAAAAGTGAAACTTGACAAAGTTTTAAGGGATGGAGGGAGTACTAACTTTGCAACTGTTAAAGAATGAACGAAGTAGGACTAATAATTTCAACATAAGTATCAAACGGATAGAGGCACCAAGTACAACATTTTCTTTGCCTAGTAGCTTTTCATGGCATCCATATAAAGAAGGGAAACAGAAGGCAAGTCAAAGTAGTCAAGTAGCCAGGCTGAGCAGTAACAGCTTTGATATAATGAGTCGAAGTGGCAGCCTTATCTTCGACCCCCACGTGCATCTTTTTCTTCTCATCAACTCGCCTCGGTGGATTAAAGTTCAATTTTTTATCTACAGACTAGTGTTTGTGAAGAGCTTTTTTTTGTCTATATAAAGACATAACATATTTTCAAATACGTTATGTCTGTATACAAACAAAAAAAACTCTTCACAGACACGAGTGTGTAGGTGTGTGTATGAAAAATGTGTACCAATAGAATTTTTGTTCAATTTTATATCTTTTCTGATATTTGTTCGATCAATTATTGAAACCCCCGGAGATGAGAGTTTTTCCCGGAATAATATTAAATAAATAATTCCCAAAATACTGCTGGGTTAAAAATAATTCCCAAAATACTGTTGGATTAACCGTGGTTAAGGAAAGCCGCCACTTATAGTGGTAGCTTTTTACTTACAGTACAAGAGCCGCTACTTGAAGTGGCGACTTTCTAACTTAAAAAACGCAGCACCGAGATGTACGGCCAAAGACAAGTAGCCAATATATGGTAGTGGGTCCCACCAGAATTAAATATCTCATGTTTTCTTTGAAGTGCTATAACTTTTTTTTTTGTATTTTGATTGTTACATAATATATACCGAAATTCATAACTTTTTACGGAGTATTATCTTTCATATGACACCAATATTGAATATATAAAATGAAAAAAAAATAACACTTTAAAATTGCTATGTATCTGTTTTTAAAGTGCATATATTTTTTATTTGTATTCCGAATATTACAAAAAATACATCAATTTTTTTAATTTTTTTTATAGGAAAGCAGTGTTTCATATAGAAAAATAAAAAGAAAATATATTAATTTGTGTAGTTTAGGATCATTT